AGTGATGGTTGTTTGAGCAATAGCGTGTTTAATTGTAGGAATGGGAATTTGAAGAAGCCGGAAAGGAGTGCTGGTTCTAGCGCCGGCTCCAGGCATCACAAGGAAAAACTGAAAATGCTGTTGAGCAGGTATACGGAAAACGTAGCTAATGGTTCAGCTGAATCGAGTGTAGGGAGGGATGATTTGCGTAGCTTGGTCCATCACAATACTGATGATTGTAGTAATTCAAAGGACATAGAAAGAGCATCCACAATTTCATCATTGCTTGTTCGTCTCAAGAATAGAAAAGTGGATGATTCTATTTCATATAGCACCACGCCTGCATTATCTACGGGCATATATAGCAGATACTCTACTAGAAATCCGAGTACTGCCGGGTCTTGGGATGCCGCCACTACTTCATCGTTTAATGCCGATGCCGATGATGAGGTGGATGACGGTTTCGATTTAGCCGGTCAACCGGGATGCGGCATCCCTTGTTACCGGTCAAGAAGGTCAACCCCAAGGTCAAGAACCGGGAGCTGTTGCTCGCCTTCTATTTCTGATACTCTTAGGAAAAGCATGATTTGTGGAAGTCGGCCCTCGTATCAAAGAAGACGTCGGAGGTCAAAGGCTTCTGCTGGTCAAAGCCTTGTCCCTCTTCTTAAAAAAGGTGGGGGTAGGCCAGGGTCGTCTGTGGGGAGTGGGATGTTAAGTGATTGTGAGCTTTTGGAAAATTACGGGGAGCTTGACTTGGAGGGTTTGAGCCGTTTGGACGGGAAAATGAGGTCATTGAGCCGTGGAAGTAGGGAGGCTTTGAATGGGGAAGTGAGTTACGAAGGTTCTCCTGAGAACATGACTACTCTGAGCTACAAACACAGGCCGATGTTTTTCGATGAATTAGTTGGGCAGAGCTTAGTTGTTAAGGCTCTTCTGAGTGCTGTTTTGCGGGGAAAGGTTCCTCCCCTTTATGTTTTCCATGGGCCCCGTGGAGTTGGAAAAACCTCGGCAGCGCGAATTTTGGCGGCAGCTTTAAATTGTCTTTCTTTGGAAAAGACTGACAAACCCTGTGGTGTGTGCAGGGAGTGTGCAGATTTTGTGTCTGGCAAGAGTAGTTATCTTGTAGAAATTGATGGGTCGAATAACAGAGGAATTGAGAAAATGAAAAGTGTTCTTGAAAAGATATCGGCAGTGTATCTTTCTCGGGCCATATCGCAGTACATGATTTTTGTGGTCGACCAGTGTCATTTGTTGCCTAAACAAACATGGCTGGCATTTCTTGGACTTCTCGAGAAACTGCTTTTGCAACGTGTTATTTTTATTCTAATAACGACAGACGTTGACAGCGTGCCGCCAGCTGTACTGGCCAGATGTCAGAAGCACCTTTTCAGCAAAATCAGCAACGGAGATATTGTTGCCCGACTGATGAAGATTTCTTGTGAGGAGAGCTTAGATGTTGAAATGAGTGCGCTGGAGCTGATTGCTTCGAATGCAGATGGTTCTTTACGAGATGCAGAGACTATGTTGGAACAGTTGAGTTTGTTTGGGAAAAGAATCACCAAATCTATGGTGAATGAGCTCGTGAGTGTTAAGTGAACCTTTCCTTTTTCTATTTTTGCCATATCTTAAATTGAATCTGCGTAGTGAAGAGTCCTTTTGCCTTTCAAACATTCTGTTTTTAACATGTCTTCAGTCAAAAAAGAAGGTTCTTGACATGTCAGAAGGAAGGTTCTTATCAATTCATGACTAATTATCCTGAGTTCCATGAATTTTGATAGAGTTGATGTATCTGTTCTGTAGGCTGAATTATCACACCCCTTTTTGTTTGTGTAGATTGGGGTTGTTTCTGATGACAAATTACTGGAGCTTTTGGAGTTGGCCATGTCATCAAATGCTACTGAAACTGTAATAAGAGCAAGGGAATTGATGGATTCTGGCATGGACCCCATAGTTCTGGTGTCTCAGTTGGTGAAACTTATTGTGGATCTTATTGCTGGGACCTACCCAAGTGTCGATGCAAAGGGCAACAAAAATTCTTTCATTGGTGAGTTGGACGTCTTACTTTGTTCATTGTCACTTTATAGTTCACTTGATTCTTGTTTTTCTTTTCTGCCCTTTTTCTTTTGCCCCTTTCTTTTCATATTCTAATCTATATGCAGAAGATAGACAACTTTCGTCGATTATGGTGTACTAGAAATTCACTCAATGCTTGTGCATGTGAAGTACAGATTTTTTTTCTTTGAACTGCTTCTGTGCTGTATGAGTCCTGAAAACACAAGAGGAGTTTTAATATTGTCAAGCATTTGAGTCTAGGAGAATAATTACAGCAAAAGTTCTCAGCAGTAAGCCTTGAGTCCAAAAATTTCAGCTCTCTTTCTAGCCTTAATACGTTGAGCATGATGTATGTTTTCTTCAAGTCAAGTACGATACTATCTAATGCTTCATCTCCGTTCTTAATTTTTTGCAAGTGACTGCCGGTTGACTTTTGCAGTGAGTGAAGGAGAAGTAGGCAGGCTGAGACATGCATTGACGGTACTCTCAGAGGCAGAAAATCGTCTTAGAGTGTCTTGCGAACGATCAACCTGGTTCACGGCCACCCTATTGCAATTAGGCTCCTTGCCTTCTTCCCCCAGTCGAAAATCCCATTCCACGTGCAGTCGCCCACACAGTTGTAGGACAATTGATAGGGACTCCAACGTAAGTCTTCATAGAGAAACTAATGAACTCTGCAGCACAACTAGCAAGAAAAAACCAGTCTCGTTGTCCAATGCACTCAGCTTTGACTCGGACCTCAATCGGAGTCAATTTTTCGATGACGAGGCATTGACTGTCTTACATGATGAAAGCAAAAGATCGATGTGTACTGAGGCTGAGGTGTTATTGAGTAATATTTGGTTAAAATGTATCCATAAGTGTCATTCCAAGACATTGAGGAATCTGTTGCATTCGTATGGGAAACTCGTCTCATTGTCTGAAGCAAAAGGTACTATTGATACTGCTGCACAAAATTTAGAACCATAATCCATTTTCTTCTCTTGCTATTTATAACTTCATCCATTTGGATATCTTGGTAACGAGAATCATTTTATTCACTAATTAACATGTAATACTTCACTACTTTACATTATTATTCTTCTCTTTTGTCCGTGCTTGAGTTTGTTTGGTGAAAGTTGCCCATCACTTTTTTTTTTTTTTCCCCCATTTTTCAACCTTAAAATTTTAGGGGCAGGTGGTTTTGTTGCCTTCATTGCATTTGAGGATGCTAACATTAAAACCCGAGCAGAAGGTTTCCTTAGTAGCCTGACAAACTCATTTGAAATTATCCTGCGGACCAATGTGGAGGTTAAACTAATTCTGCTACAAGAAGATTTCCCAGGTCAGAAGCCATCCATCCCAATGAACCTGCAAAAATGGCCAACACATTTGGATGCATCGGTCAGTAAGCCGGATCTTAATTCACTTGAAGGTTCATCCCAGTTATCAAGAACGAGCTTTAATGCCTCTATGGATCATCACACGCAACCTGTAGAGTCTATCTCTACAAATGCTTGCACAAGTATCCCGAATGATAACAATTCAGATATTATTATTCCTCCAGGGAGAATTGAGTCAATAATCGATGAACAAAGATTAGAAACTGCATGGCTTCAGACCATGGACAAAAGTATGAGGAGTCTTTCGAGAACTGAGCAGCAACAGGTTTTGCGGCAAAATGGTGTGGATAGTCTGAATGAATTGGACTCTTTGAATTCTGTGGATGTCACATTGCATTATTGTGAAGACAGGTTAAATCATGAAATCGAAGCAGAAAAAATTAATGGTGAGACGAAGGTTAGGAGGAACGGCGGTTGTCCGATTTCTCCAAGCGTATTGCATGCCAGTAAAGATGACATGTAATTTTGTTGGCTCTGTAGTTTCAACATTTTTGAAATATGATGATGGATACTGAGTATTTGGTTATTTATTTTATTTATTTGTTTTTTCAGAGTATATGAATCTGGATCAGGAAGGGGTTGTGGTATGATGTTATGCTGGAATAACAGCAAGCCTCACAGAAGGGGAAAGGTATGCTGATACATTATTTTCCATTTTGAATATCAAGAAATCGTGTTGTGAACTACATTTATTGTAACATTTGCTCGATGGGAAAAAATAAAAACAGGCTAATCAAAGCACTCCTAGACGCGCACATAAATGCGGACAGTTTTCTTGGTTCGGAGAGTGTGCGAAATCAAGGCGGAACAGATACTGTAGATGACTGGAAGGAGAAAATTGTTGAAGTCTTTAAGCAATCTTATAATGGTTTGTTATTAAAATTATTTTTATTTATTTATAGGCTAAAGCGAGCCTTAGCTTTTCAATTTTTATATATGAGAGTTATTGAAGGAAATATGATGTAAAGTTTGTACATTTGGTGGATGCATTTCTGTTGGTCCAGTCATTTTTGTGGTACGATTATAAAGTTGAGTTGAGACACTCTTTTTGCTTCCAGCATCTTACATTTATAATTTTCGTTATAAAATTAATATGTTAATTAATATAAAAATATTAGAACAGGGCGATATCCGTATTTATTTAACTTTATTTGATAATGTAAAATACTACAGTTCCGTTACGGAGCCATTCCGTTGGAGTTTTTAATCTTTAAATACACATGTAGATTAGTGTAAAATAGATAATTTACTATTAAAATTTCGAGAGAATGGTTCCATAATAGAAGTGTAGTCTTTTTCATAATTTTAAATTATCCCTCAATGTAAATGTACGATAAAAAAAAATCCAAAGATCTAAAAAATTTGTATCACATGTAGTAAACAAGAGATCATTTAATCTATTATTCTATATCCCATACAGTGAAGTAATCGAGCCCAAAATAGGATTGGGGTCCAGACGGTGCAACTTTTTTTTTTTCAACGGTGCAACTTACACAGCAGAGGGTGCTGTGTTTTTTAATGACCAATGGATCAATGTATTTTAATCTAATGGTCCAATTTTTTTTTTTATTTTTTTTTTTCCTTTAATCACACAACAATAAAATAAAATAGCTTCTTCAATATCCTTTTCACTTCCCGCCCACTTCTTACACCCTTCAGCAAAAGAAAATAGACCTTTCAACCAAGAAAAACCTTTCAGTGCATGTAATTGATTAAAATTTTGTAAATTGTCAATCAATGAGATCATGGACAAGGACAATAGTGCTGTAAACGAACCGAATCGAACCGAGCTTGAGCTGTTCGAGCTTGTGTTCGTTTACGTTCGAACAATGTTCGTGTTCGTCCGTTTATTTTTTGAGTAAAAAATCGTGTTCGAGCTCGTTCGTTTAATTGTTCGTTAAAGTTCAAGTTCGTTCGTAATCGAATAATTTTAATGCATAAACTTTTTAAATATGTTTGATTAACTCGAAATTTGTTCGGTCGAACTTGTTCGAATTTGAAAATAGAAAAATAAAATAAAAATATTTTTATATTTTAGATATTTTTATTAAAAATATTATGTAAATATATATATATATAAAATAATATTAATTAATGTGCGCGAACATTATCAAACGTTCGCGAACGAGTTCGTGTTCGTTCGATTATCAAACGAGCCTAATTTTTTGTTCGAACTCGGCTCGATTAACAAACGAAGTAGCTTTTGTCGAACACGAAAGAGCTCGAACGAGCTTTTGTTCACGAACGTTCGGTTCGTTTACAACTCTATGGACAAGCAAACAAGTATGAGTTAAATCTCGAGAAAGAGTCGGAGTACAGATTCTTAGATTGGAATAGCTTTGACATTGAAAGATATTTTCTCTTTTTTTTTTTTATTTAAAAATTTACACCTTTTTTCAAGATTTTTTTTTTGTTTGTTTGTTTATATTTTATTTGTACTAGTGAGCAACCCGTGCGATGCACGGTGAGGCTTGTTCCTCAAAACTTATTTACAACTTTATTTTTAAATATAATTACTAAAGTTTAAACATTTTATTATAAATTAGATACAGAGTATGAAAAATCATATATTGTTGAACAATTCCCTATACACAATATTTTTTGTTTGATTTTGTGGAAAACCTTCTTGTCAACAAATTAAAATTTTCAAACATTTGTGTGAAAAAAATTAAATTATAATATATTATTTTTAGTGTGATAAATCGTAATATATTATTTTTAGTGTGATAAAATGTGTTGGGAAAACTATGACCATTTGGAAAAATATTTAATTGTAATTTTAAAACTTTAATAAATTTAAAAAGATAAATATGACCATTTGAAGAAATATTTATATGTAATCTTAAAATTTTAAGTTTTGAAAAATGATTGTATATATGCGCCAAGTTTTTAGGAACCAATCGATCATATAATATAAAATTCTTATATGATTTCCAGAGTCTTACGAACGTGACATGAACTTCATTTTTTAATTTCAAATTTAAACAAATCAAAAGACAAATTATTAGGTAGTTATGAAAAAAAGTATCCAACAAACTATTTTTTAATTTCAAATTTAACAAATCAGAAGACAATTATTAGGTAGTTATGAAAATAGTCTCCAACAAACTTCAAATTAAACGACACACAACCATCAGATCTGGAGTTGGTTGCAGTCGACGATCACCACCCGTCTCGAGGTCCGGTAGCTCCCTGACCCGACATTCTCCACCGCCTTCAATATGTCGTACTCCTCCACCACCTGCCCGAACACCACGTGCTTGTTGTCAAGCCACTTCGTCCTTGTCGTGCAGATGAAAAAGTACATGTCATTTGTCCCCGGAACAGCCTTCGCCATCGACAGGTCCCGGTGTGCTTTCTCATGATGTTCTCGTCGGTAAACTTGGCGTCATAGATCGACTTGCCGTCGTTACCCGCAGTGAAGTCACTGCTCTGACAAATGAAATTGGGGATTACACGATGGAAGGATGACCCTTTGTGGTGGAGGGGATTGCCATATTTGCCGACGTCCTTCTCGTTGGTGCATAGGGCGCAAAAGTTCTCGTCGGTCTTCGTGACAACGTCGACGAAGAGCTCCATCACGATTCAGCGGCGGGGCTAGCTGCTGATTGTTATGTCGAAGTAAACCCTAGAATTCGATAGGTTGATTTGAATTTTTTATTTAAGAGTTTTTTGTGATTTTTTTTTTATTTGTGACTAACTGATTTTTTTTTTTGTCTCAAACTTAGGATTTTGTAATTGGGTGGGGAGGGGTTTATATAAGGGATCGATTGAGTGCAAACTTTAAAAAGATGGATTCTTTCTAAACTTTAAAAAGATATTGTAGTTAGATAAATATGGAGAAAAAAATATTTACCAGGAATTCACATAATATGAGATTCTTTCCAAACTTTAAAAAGATTTTGTAGTTTAATAGATATGGACAAAAAAATATCCATAGATAGAGATTTGCCCGAATTTTCAAACCTTTTTTTGTATATATATATATATATAAATCAATTTGTGCTTTAGGTGGGAATTTACCCTTTTTTTAATAAATTCATTATCAGTAAAAACAAAAATTTTATGCGGGATTTTACATACTATTCACAGCTAAATGTTTTGCGTTTTTATATATTCATGGATATATATTTAAGTCGTGAATTTTTTATATTATATGATTATATGGCTAAAAATATGTTGTTTCAATCAAATAAGAAAAACAAATCAATATATTTACACACAAAATTCAAAAATATAAATAATTTATGGAGGATTGAAGTTTATCAATACTTAGTATAACATCTATTATTCTCGGAGCAACTTTTTGTTTGATTTGCAACATTAATTTGAATGAAAAAAATTCGTAATTGTGGGAATATCTTGATTCAAATCTCAATTTTTTGGCATAAGAATCTCCAAATTTGTTACCAATAAAAATGGAATTCGTATTGATGAAATGAATTAAAGTTTGGCATAAGAATCTCCAAATTTGTTACCTTAAGAATCTTCAATTTTTATGGGATATCTCATTAAATTTGATTCCTAAAAGAAAATAAGTTGTTTCAATCAAATAATTCATATATTATTTCAATTAAAGAATATAAACCACCAAAAAATAGAGAAGATGTTAGGATTTAGGTCATAAAATAATGTAATTTGTTATTATCTAAGAAAACAAAATCAATATATTTACACACAAAATTCATATAAATAATTTATGGAGGATTGGAGTTTATCAATATTTAGTATAATATCCATTATTCTCGAAAAAATTTGTTGTTTGATTTGCAACATTAATTTGAATGGGAAAAAAAAAATCATAATTGTTGGGATATCTCAATTCAAAATTTCAATTTTTGCCATAAAAATCTCCAAATTTGTTACCTATAAAAATGAGATTCGTTTTTATGAAATGAATTAAATTTTGGCATAAGAATCTCCAAATTTGTTACCTTAAGAATCTTAAATTTTTTTGGGATATCTCACTTAAATTTATTTCCTAAAGAAAATAAGTTGTTTTAATCAAATAAGTCAAATATTATTTCAATTAAAGAATATAAACCACCAAAAAATAGAAAAGAAGTTGGGATTTAGGTCCTAAAATAAGGTAATTTAGTATTATTTAGGAAAAAAAAACAATATATTTACACACAAAATGCACAAATATAAATAATTTATAGAGGATTGGAGTTTATCAATATTTAATACAACATCCATTATTCTCGGAACAATTTTTTGTTTGATTTGAAACATTAATTTGAATGGAAAAAAAATTCGTAATTATTGGGATATCTCAATTCAAAATTTCAATTTTTTGGCACAAGAATCTCCAAATTTGTTACCAATAAAAATGAGATTCGTATTTATGAAATGAATTAAATTTTGGTATAAGTATATCCAAATTTGTTACCTTAATAATCTCCAAATTTGTTACCTTAAGAATCTCCACATTTTTTGGGATATCTCCCTTAAA